GGGACTGAACTGGAAGTTGAAAAGGGGTCTAGGTACTTTTATAGAATTTGCCCTTATTATTATTATGCTGATAATATATATTGCACAGTTTTTCTAACACAAAAAAAAAATAATAAACAAACAAAAAGTTAACAGGTTCCTTTGTTTTCTTAACTGCGTACATAATTCCAGAAGATACGTATTCGATCCAAAAGCTCGCCACCTTCACATAACCTGTATATGAAGTCCGTGAATGAGTAAATGCTTCAAGAAAGATAATTCGGAAATAATTACAGAGATCAAAATCAACTGAACACGATTCCAATATTCAGTAGAAAAGTGCAGGTATAATAAAAAAAAAAAAAAAGAACCAAATCAAAGCTTACTCCATCACAATGTAGACATTGTCGTGGTCTTCAAAAGCATCATAAAACTGAATCAAATTGCAAAGCTCGCAATATTTTCACCTCCTTTCTTACATCTTCAATAGCAATAGCAGTGGTCATCTGAAAATTGTAAACAAAGTTGCAGATAAAGATTATTAATACAGTGAAAGGTTATTTAATAGAATTATTTACATTCATTGCCCAATCACATGAAGTCAACTACTTAGGCAATGTCAGCACAAGAAACCAATCTCTTCAGTTGATTTTTTTTTATTTTAGGTCACTCAAATATCAACTTGTTTAGCTCAATTTTTTTTTTTTTTAATCAAAATTCATCATTTACCTAATTGAGATACTTTCAGACGTTTAGCAAGCTACAACTGATTGTAAATTTGTAACAGAATCCACATTCTAATCGAAACCCATCCTTGCAGATTATTACAACAAGTAAATGCTCAAGTTAAATTAACAAACAACAATACTTCAAAGGCAAAAATATACATTTTATACAATTAAATTAAATATAATAATTAATGATTTTTATTATATAATTAATTTTAATTTTAAATTGATTAATAATGCAAATAAATTGTTACGTTTGGATCTCAAATAAATTAACTAAATATGCATCATATATTACCTATATAAAGTGTACACTTTATTTGCATATTTTCGCTGCATACTTAGTTCATTCATGATGCATATTTAGTTCATTCATGATGCGTATTTAATAATAACAAGTGCATACTTAGTTGATATTATTGGTGCATATTTAGTTCATAAGGGCTGCATACCCCATGCATATTTAATTCAATCACAATGCATATTTAGTTCATAACAGATGCATATTTAGTTAATAACATATGCATACTTAGTTGATATTATTGATGCATATTTAGTTCATATGGACTGCATGTGCAATTCATACCTCATGCATATTTAGTTAATATTAAATGCATGGTACTGGATGTATAATTTACTTCATACATAATGGATACTATGGGTCAACGGGTCAACGCCGAAAGTCAACGATTTTTCGCCAGAAGTCAACAGTCAATGCCGAAAGTCAACGGTCAACACCAGAAGTCAACGGTCAACTAATAATTGTTTTATTATTTAATTAATGTATATTTTAATTAATTTTGATCTAGACAAAATGAGTGGCTAAGATTGAGTCTCACATACTCATTTTAAGGAGTTGTCTCATTGGATCCACATTCTTAAAGTGAGGACGTGAGGCACTTTTTTAGCCACAAGATTTGGTACATAATGTGTGGTCAAGATTTAATCTTTTTATTATTATTTTAATTATTTAAATATTATTTTGACCCGTTGACTCCAGTGTTGACCGTTGACTTTCGGCGTTGACCGTTGACTTTCGGCAAAAATTCGTTGACTTCCGTCGTTGACCGTTGACAACTAAACTTGCAATTAAATATAAATAACCTAGCATGCTAGGTTAATTATCTGATGGTGCTAGGTTAGTTGTATTTGGTTTATATATTTATGTAAAAATATAAAGTTAGTTGGGTCTTAAATTGAGAATTAGAATGTAAAAGTATGTCTTTTATGGGGAATAACTTAAAATTCAAACCATCAAATGAAAAAGTTAAAAATTCAGACTTTATTGTGACACAATAACAAAAAGTCAAGCTCTATAATAGAATTTCCTCCTAAAATTTAAGGACCAAAAAATATCTAAAAAAAAAAAAGAAATAAAAAGAATTTGATCCGCACAAGATCCTATAAAAAAAAAAGTTATCAAATACTAAAAATAAACTAATCTATTTTATTCCATATATTGATTGATTAATTTCACAAAAAAAAAAAAAAAAGTCATCAAATATCAATTATAAATTTGTCAGATTTATGACATATATCAATTATACTATATGACATGTTCATCAAATATCCTCATGCTTATGACCACCACCACCACAGCTGCTCACGCACCACGCTAGACTCTGTTACCTGAAAAATAGTTAGTGGGGGGCGTGAGCATAAAATCCACGTACTCCGTCGGAACCGACACTTAAAACACAACTAATGTAATAACATATCATGACATTGACATATATGCAAATACTTACTATGTTTGTCAGAAACGATAAAATGATTATCATTATACTAACACATCGCGAACTGAACATACATTTAATAAGATTAGTAAAGTACACGTGCGATGCACGCGGTGACGAATGTTTTTGGCCAATTAACTTTAGTAAGGTAGATAAATTAATTTATTACATATATAATTGCATGAACAAGATAAAAATGTAAAATAAATAAACTCTTAACATATTTACAACCCCAACAAAAATATATGAAAAGCAAATTCCTAATAAAAAAATTAAATAATTAAATAAGTACATAACGTATATTATAGATACATGGGTTCTTTTATTTATTTATGTTAAAAAATAGGATTTGTCTACTGTATCATTAACATTAAATTACAAAATTAGTTTGACAAAATAAAGGTAATTTATGAATATCATATTTTTACAGATCCATGGGCACTTTTATAATAGTATAGATATAGATAGATAATAGATATAGATAAACACATCACAACCTAAGAATACATCTAATATCATAAAATATCACCATAAACATATAAATACGTAAACCATATACTCAAAAAGGATCAATCTGCATATGTATAATATGATATCACATCATACCTTAAGTGCCTCAAACGTAGATATCAAAGAGCAATGAAAAGGGCTATTCAAACATAAAACTCATCCAGTAACTGAACATCTCAACCTCAATACATGGCAGGCAAGTTCAGGCCCGTCTTAAGGGGGTGGCAGCTGGTGCGACGCCCAAGGGCCCATGAGGCTAGGGGGCCCATTAGTATACTGTATATACATGTATAGTAGATGTATTGGTCAATTCAAATAATAATTAATTAGATTGTCGGGCTCTTAGTGTCTTGCTTGCCCAAGGGCCCTCGACATTGTTGAGACGGCCCTGGGCAAGTTAAGAAACTTTTCATAACACAACTGTCGTACATTAGAATGCTTGTACTCAGAGAAAAATGACTACTAGGAAAACTAAAATATAAATACTCAATGTTTTGAATTAGATTGCTTGTACCCGAGAAAAATGACTACTAAGAAAACTAAAATATAAATACTCAATGTTTTGCCTCAGCCAACCGACAAAAGACTACTCTTGTGGAATCTAAAGATATAAAATCCACCCAATGTTGATAACTCGAACGAGTCAATTTCGCGCGTACGAACCTTGTACACGATGCAACTGCGATTTCCGGGCGGAGGATTAAAGACAAGCACATCTGGGTAATCTATCCAACCAACCGGTCGGATGTAATTTTCATCGCAATCTCGTGAAAACCAATCGAACCTCCACTTTTCATCCTCCAAATCAATGCTGAATACCTTGAGCCACTCCCCAGTTTCTGATTCCATCTGCCAAACATCCCACGAGTATTTCCCAAGGGCAACCAATACAGTTAGATACCTTTCTGTCGGCAGATAAAACTTTCTCTTCCCTCTATGAGCTAGAGGAAGTGGAACCTGCGACTCGGATATAGTTTCAATCTCCACATTCAGAGTCAGCATAGTATCAAACCCATCTTTGATCCAATGCACAAAACCTTGGGTCGTCCATGGAAATTCCTTGCATAGCACTGTCCTGCTCGTTTCAGACAAGTGTTGGACAGGCACGTGCCTCCAAGAGGTATCGACCCCAACAGTTACTATGGCGCAGTAGACAATTTCTATCTCCTGATGACATAGGACCACTTTGTACTCCTTAGAGGCCGCTGCAAATGCTAAACAAGAAAAAAAAATTGAACAAATTCTGTTGTAAATAGGAGGGAGGTCATAGTGTTGGTTGGTTGCAGGATTGAAGATGCACAAGTCAGACTTGATATGACTTGAGATTCCAAAAACCAGACCATTACAGCTGGACCAAATATTGCAGTAATATTCCTTGCGGAACCTGAATTTTTCGACCCGGCCCTCCTTCATGGAGATAAAAATAATTTCTTCAGGGAACATCATAGAGTGCAAGATGAGCCCGGAGGTTGCACGCTGAAAGTGCTCGTGAATGAAGTCACGTGTACGGGTCAAACGGTACCACTTGGGGCAAACAAGACCTACAGAGTCTTGAATAACATGAGCTGGGAGACGAACAAGGATGCCCAATAACAACTCATCGGGAAGAGACTCTAGGTTTGGTAACTTATATCTCCTCCTGAAATAATAAGATGTAGTGCGATTATCTCTGGCTACCTGCATATCGTTTGAGATTTCCAGTGATGAACTTTCTAAAGAAACTTCAATTTTTCAACAATTTTTTTTCTGAAACAATTTATTCCAAGAAGCACATCTTCATCGTTTCTATCCTATATGCCCTTTAACCAATTGTTGCTGCTACCTAGAATGGATCTGGGTGAAAAAGGTGCAAACTTGGGGCCAATTTTCACTCTTTAAATCCAGCTAAAACAGTAAGTAAGCTCAATTCGGTGCTATCTAGAATGGATCTGGGTGAAAAGATGCAAACTTGGGCCGATTTTCACACTTTATATCCACAGCTAAAATAGTAAGTAGGCTCAATTAAGCTCACAAAAATCATGAAAATATGTCAAACATTGCTTACAACTCCGGTGGGTGATTGAGTGTCCGCGGCGAACTTCGGGTTGCTCCGGAATTCCTCGTGGAGTAGATCTGAGCAAAAAATGACCATTGGCAACAAGAACAATTAACAAAGGAGAAGAAAAATAACTAATAATATGCAATTCAGTTAGATGTCAATGAAAATGGAAAAATCAACAACCTTCAAGAACAACACTCCTGCCCATGCTTCCTTTGCAAAAATAAATAAGAGGAAATGCAGACGGAGAATGAAAATGTTTTCGGAGAGAAAAACGCTACTAAAGTATATTTATTATTATGGTTTAGAGGCGAGGCTAAGAAAGAGGTGGTAATTCAAATTTCAAAATTGTTTTCTAGGTGGTAAGAGATAAATATTTATAAAATTGAAAATACTCATTAAATAATATTTATAAATTAAAACAATAATTTTTAAACTCGGTCTGATAATCGACCCAGGAAGGTTTCCGGGTCATTGGATCACCGGTTCAATCATCGGGTCACCGGGTTAATTGTTGAACCGAATAATTAATTTTAAATTTTTTCAAATTATATATAAAATATTTTTGTCATATAAATATACATAAAAATAACAAAATAAATATTTGACAAGATATTATGGTAGCATTAAATGTGCTATAATTTGAAATACATTTAGACAAGATTTGTTGAAATTTGAAATCTAAACTAATCTTATAATTATGGTAGCATTAAATGTGGAATCATTTATTTAACTAAAAAAATAAAAAATTTGTGGCAAAAAAAAATCGTTGTGAACAAAAATAAAACGCACGGATTTTCAAAATCCGTTTTTAACTAAAACACGGATTCCGAAAATCCTTAATAACGGATTTTCAGAATCCGTATTTATTTATTAATTTTTTTATAAAAAAAAATTATTAGAAACACGGATTTTCATAATCCGTTTTTGAGTTTTTTATTTTTTTTTCCTAAACACGAATTTTGAAAATCCGTTTTTCTTTCTTTTTTTATGGCCTAATTTAAATAAAATAAAAAATAATTTTTTATTAAAAACGGATTTTTTGTATAAAAAAAAATAATTTTTTAATAAATTTTTTTTTTTATTTATTTTTTTGTAAAAAAAAAATTAATAAAAAAATCCATTTTCAAAATTTGTTTCTTTTTTTTTTCAAACGTCAATTATATAAATAACTTAAAAACTCATAAGAGTACAACCGAAGTGTCAAATGACACACTGGAACCAGAAGACTGGACCACCCCCTTGTCATCATCACATGCAAGGGGTACAAACTCCATCAAGGAGTGAAACTACAAAACAAACAAGACTCCAAAAAAGCATACAAGCTGCACTGACAGCAGACAAAGCTGCACTGAAAGCAGACACAGCTGCACTAAACAAAACAAAACAACAAAAGAAAAACCAAAGCACAAATGTCCTGCAGCTAATAGACCCACAACCACTAACAATGAAAGCCAACGAAGTCACAGACCGAAAACTCAAGCCCGAAAACTGCGAACACTTGTGTCGCCTAGACGGATCTGAAGAAGAGGCTGCTATCACTTTAGATCTGGATTCCAACAAACCTTCATGCTAGGAGATCCATAACCGAAGGAATACAACTCACAAAACCCACCCAACAAAAACCACAACACAGACTCAAACTAAGCAAAACACAAAACCAAAACACATCAACACAACAAACAAAAGCACACCTAACAACACAAACAAAACCTAAACAGACAAGCACTACAAAAGAACTGAAAACACCAACATAGCCCTTCCTCAGAGAACGAATTAGCCCAAACCAGAAGTGAACGATCAACACAAGAGATATTCAAAGCCCGAGATAATGCTACCGAAACTGCAGTCGCCTATACAGTAGATAACCCCAAGCCCCAAACCACTCCCTGAATCGACCCACCTTCAACCGAGAGAACCACGTTCAGCCCCATCCCAGTCACACCGCAGATGCCTAGCACCACTAGTCGAGCTCGATAGAACCGGTCCCCCACCACCTAACACCACTAGCCGGGGAGGGAAAGAGTGAAACGGACCTCAACCCCGACAGCCACAACAAAAACGCCGTGACTGCCGGCATCCCGCCCCTCCTCCCATCCGAACCACGAAAGCCACCAATCACACCACAAATGACCGTTGCCAAAGGAGCCCCCAATCAACAGCAAGAACAAACAAAAGGAAAGAACACACCTCCAATCGAGACAAGCCGGCCGACCCGTCGTTGACCGAGAATCGCGCCTCCTCCATCTGCAAATCGCTGTCGACCAAGGGGGAGATGACGAACCGTCTGGCACAGGACATCCGAGGCGAAAAATTGGGGATCGCTACATCAGGGGAAAGTGCGGACGGTTCAGGCGACCCCTAGTCGGCACCTCATCGTCTCCGAGGAAGGCTGACTGGTGCCAAGGACAACGACGCTGGATGAGGGTTTACTGTTCAAATTCAAGTTTTTTTTCGCAGGAGAAAACTTTTTATATCATGAACAGATTTAATTAATCACTAAAGTACCCTCAAAATTTGTTTCAAAATCCTTTTATTTTGTATTTTAGTTCGATTGAAGTCAAATTAGTACAATTGAAGTCAAATATAGTGTAATCGAACTCGAATTAGTCCGATTGAAGTCAAATTAGTACAATTAAAGTCAAATTAGTACAATTAAAGTCGAATTAGTACAATTGAAGTCAATACTAGTGTAATCGAACTCAAATTAGTCCAATTGAAGTCAAATTAGTACAATCTAGGTCAATTATAGTGTAATCGAACTCGAATTAGTCCAATTAAAGTCAAATTAGTACAATTGAAGTTAATTATAGTGTAATCAAACTCGAATTAGTCCAATTGAAGTCAAATTAGTACAATTAAAGTCAAATTAGTATAATTATAGTTGAATTAGTACAATTGAAGTCAATACTAGTGTAATCGAACTTGAATTAGTCCAATTGAAGTCAAATTAGTACAATTTAAAGTCAAATTAGTATAATTTAAGTCAATTATATTGTAATTGAACTCGAATTACTCTGATTAATGTCAAATTAGTACAATTGAAGTCAATTATAGTGTATTCGAACTCGAATTAGTCCGATTGAAGTCAAATTAGTACAATTGAAGTCAAATTAGTATAATTAAAGTCAAATTAGTACAATTAAAGTGAATAATAGTGTAATCGAACTCCAATTAGTCCAATTAGTACAATCTTGGACAACTATAATGTAATCGAACTCCAATTAGTCCAATTGAAGTCAAATTATTACAATTTCAGTTAATTATAGTGTAATCGAACTCGAATTAGTCCAATTTGTACAATCTCGGTCAATTATAGTGTAATGGAACTCAAATTAGTCCGATTGAAGTCAAATTAATATAATTTAAGTCAATTATAGTGTAATTAAACTCGAATTAGTCCGATTGAAGTCAAATTAGCACAATTGAAGTCAATTATAGTGTAATCGAACTCGAATTAGTCCAATTGAAGTCAAATTAGTACAATCTCGGTCAATTATAGTGTAATCGAACTCGAATTAGTCCAATTAGTACAATCTCAGTCAATTATAGTGTAATCGAATCTGAATTAGTCAATTAGTACAATCTCGGTCAATTTTAATGTAATCGAACTACAATTAGTCCAATAGAAGTCAAATTAGTACAATCTCGGCCAATTATAGTGTAATCGAACTCAAATTAGTCCGAATAACGTCAAATTAATACAATCTCGGTTAATTATAGTGTAATCGAACTCGAATTAGTCCAATTAGTACAATCTCAGTCAATTATAGTGTAACCGAACTCAAATTAGTCCGATTGAAGTCAAATTAGTACTATTGAAGTCAAAGAAGTACACAAGAAGTCAAATTTGTACAATCTCGGTCAATTATAGTGTAATCGAGCTCAAATTAGTCCGATTGAAGTCAAATTAGTACAATTAAACTCAAATTAGTATAATTTAAGTCAATTATAGTGTAATTGAACTCGAATTAGTCCGATTGAAGTCAAATTAGCGCAATTGAAGTCAATTATAGTGTAATCGAACTCGAATTAGTCTGATTGAAGTCAAATTAGTACAATTAAAGTAAAAAAAAAATTAGTACAATTGAAGTCAATACTAGTGTAATCGAACTCGAATTAGTCCAATTGAAGTCAATTAGTACAATCTCGGTCAATTATATTGTAATCGAACTCGAATTAGTCCAATTAGTACAATCTTTGTCAATTATAGTGTAATTGAACTCAAATTAGTCCGATTGAAGTCAAATTAGTACAATTAAAGTCACATTAGTATAATTTAAGTCAATTATAGTGTAATTAAACTCGAATTAGTCCGATTGAAGTCAAATTAGCACAATTGAAGTCAATTATAGTGTCATCGAACTCGAATTAGTGCGATTGAAGTCAAATTAGTACAATTAAAGTCAAATTAGTACAATTGAAGTCAATACTAGTGTAATCGAACTCAAATTAGTCCAATTGAAGTCAAATTAGTCCAATCTCGGTCAATTATAGTGTAATCGAGCTCGAATTAGTCCAATTGAAGTCAAATTAGTACAATTGAAGTCAATTATAGTGTAATCGATATCGAATTAGTCCGATTGAAGTCAAATTAGTACAATTGAAGTCAAGTTAGTACAATTAAAGTCAAATTAGTACAATTGAAGTCAATACTAGTGTAATCGAACTCGAATTAGTCCAATTGAAGTCAAATTAGTACAATTAAAGTCAATTATAGTGTAATAGAACTCGAATTAGTCCGATTGAACTCAAATTAGTACAATTGAAGTCAATACTAGTGTAATCGAACTCGAATTAGTTCAATTGAAGTCAAATTAGTACAATCTCGGTTAATTATAGTGTAATCGAACTCGAATTAGTCCAATTAGTACAATCTCGGTCAATTATATTGCAATCGAACTCGAATTAGTCCAATTGAAGTCAAATTAGTACAATTAAAGTCAAATTAATACAATTTAAGTCAATTATAGTGTAATGGAACTCGAATTAGTCCGATTGATGTCACATTAGTACAATTAAAGTCAATTATAGTGAATCGGTTTTATTTATGTGTTTGTTTTTTATATGAATTTTGTCGTTTGAAAAAAAAAATCAACATTATAGTGTAATCGAACTCGAATTAGAATATAAATCGTGATTGTACTAATTCGACTTTAATTGGACTAATTCGAGTTATAAATTAAATTTATTTTTACTTTTAAACATGACTTTTTTTAATTTAAATAAAAATTAAATAAAAAAATAAAATACAAAATAAACAAATTTTGAAACAGATTTTGGCAACGAATTTTTTTTATTAAAAAATAATTTTTTATAACAAAAAAATTTAAATAAAAAATATTTTTTAAATAAAAAATACTTATTTTATTAAAAAATACTTTTTATACAAAAAAATTTAAATAAAAATTATTTAAGAAGAATTAAATTTTTATACAAAAGAATTATTTAAAAATTACTTTTTTTATTAAAAAATTATTTTTTTATTAAAAAATTAAATTTTATACAAAAAAATTAAATAAAAAATAAATTTTTATGCAAAAAAATTTAAATGAAAAATATTTTTTTATTAAACACGGATTTTGAAAATCCGTGTTATAATTTTTTTTATTATTTTATTAAAAAATAATAATAAAATAATAAAAAAAATAAAAAAATAATAAAATAAAAAGAAAAACGGATTTTGAGAATTCGTGTTTCATAAAAAATTATTTTTTGAAACACGGATTCTCAAAATCCGTCCGTTTTATACTTGTCCACATTTTTTTTTTTTTTGCCACAATTTTCTTTATTTTTTTAAATAAATAAGCTGCCCATTAAATGTGCCATAATTTTTATCAATAAAAAATGAAAACTAAAGTAAAAAATATTCTAAAAATGGAATTCAATTAATGTTGTACTTACTATTTTTAGTAAATAGTAATTCTTATTATATATATATATAGATTCTATGGCCACGGGTCACCTGCCCCGGTAAAACCAGTTGATCACGTCCGGGTCCGATTTGGTTTTCAATCAAGTCGATTTAGCGTCTTGTTTTTTGGACCATGGCCGGCGGGCTTGCCCGAGTTGGGTTGGACACGGAAAAAACACATGGTTTAAAAATTTTCCTTATTTTTCATTTTTTTTTATTTGGACGGGGCAGACCTGACCCGCTGGGCCATGGGGCTGGAACGGACCTAGACCGTGCCGGTTCAGGGTCCATGAAACCCAGCTCGTCGGCCTCGGCCCTGCCCTGTTTTGGTCATATCTGATTCTACCAGATGATTACGCCCAAACTATACTAAATATTTATTTGAATATGATTTTATCTGTTGCCCAAGGATTGGGTCGGGTACTGGTTTGTTTGCTGAAGCCAAATTTAAATTTTAAAACTATTTTAACTATGAAATACGCTGAGAACTATATAAGTTGTAAATGTTCGTATTTAACTGAAAAACAGTAAGCGAATCTTATATGCATACCTTGGGGAAACTGTTGATGCATGTGAGGAGAAAATTTTCAAAATTGCCAATTTAACGAATTATAAAAGATTGTAGAATGCAAAGTAATATAAAATTTTGATTGTGTTGACAGATGAAATGTGATTTTGAATAGAGTAGCACAATTCACTAAAAATGTTGGGAACAAACCTTTGTATAGGTTTGTTTTCTCATTCATGATAGTGAAACAACTAAGGTGAATAGTTCTAGTTAAGTAGTACACCATATATTTGTGCTACAATACTATATTCATATTGTACCGTGCCGAAAACAATAACACTAAATAAGTCTACGTTAGATAAGAACAATTTCAATATATAAAAGTTAAGAATAAGAATCAAATTTTAAGAGAGGTTAATGGTTTGACATTCACGTCTTTGTAAATACAATGTTGTGTTGAAAAGAATATAGGAAATGTATAGTAATAATACAAATTTAGATTCAAATATTTACACATATATTTCTGTTGAGATAATAGTGATATGGGATATTATATTATTATATGTACTCGACCGGTCCGCTGGAACTAGAGAGCGAATTGGGTGGACCGAATACGCCTGGCTAATGAGGTCCTGAGGACGAGGGTAGGCAGGACCGCAGGCGCTCAACAAATCCCCATACACTGAGGATCTGGTCGAAGCGATGGATGGTCGAACGCTAGTAGAGGACGGTCGCCCAGGTATGGTCGAGATCCAGCAGCGATAAAGTGACTCAGCAGCCCTCCTAGATGTGGTCGAAAGCGGAGGCCTCCAAGAGAATCTCCAGCACGTTAGCAGAGGACACGCTGCACATAATGAGTGGTCTAGAGCGATAACGACCTCTGACATTCTCTAACATAATCTGATGCATTTTTTGACACCAAGGTAGTGGAGACGCGCGAACGTACGACCGGGTAGTGGGAGTGGCCAGCTCACCATGTTGGGGCAGTCGTTCGGGTAGGTAACTCGCCCCTGTAAATAGGGGCGAGATCTCTAGTTTTCCACACAATCTCCATAATACTTACGTATTTTCACATATATTTATTTTCTCAAGGCTGACTTGAGCGTTGGAGGCTCTTCACCGGAAAATATGTAAGTATTATGAAAATGTGTACTCTAATTCTCTTTTAAATCTTAACATGTGTCATGTTATATAATTAAATGAAAAAAAAATGCAGTTTATTTAATTACAAAAATGTCTTTACTTTAAATCTTTAAGAAAATAACTTATAAATATATTTTATTTAAAAGGCATTAAATTATTCTTATATTATGTAGAAAATAAAAAAATACATAAAAGGTGGAACTTCAAATTAAAGATTCATATGAAACTCAAAACGTGATACTGATTAAGAGGTTTACTGCATATGAAAGTGGAGCAAAATGAGAGTTCACCCATCAAACTCAGATAACCAAGTCACAAACTTGTCGATTGAATTAGTTGTTATTCCGCTACCGCGCTACGCGTTGCTGAAAATCTGGTAACTTCACCGGTGTTTTTCTGACTATTGGAACGTCGGATCGATGATAGGAACATACCGTTCGATTTTTTAATAAAGCTTTCTACACATGTATAACTCACGAAAATCCGACGGTTGGGTCTTGGGTGACATTCCAATAAAATTTAATGCACAATTTTTATTTTTTATTTTTTAATTTTTTTGAAACACTAACAATGATAGAACAAAGTTTGAAGTAAATGAAGTTTGACATGTTGTAGAAAGATGGAGTCAAGAACGTCCAAATTAATGTATGATTTATTAAAATGTATCATTGGTAGGAGGACGACGAACGATAGTTAACTGTAGTGGCTAGCGGCGGCAAAATTGTTAGATCTTCAATTCTTACACATTCTGGGCAGAGAAATGAGAGAAGAAATTAGGTGGAAGTTTGACTGAGGTACCCTTCTTTTTGGACAGAATAACAGAAATAAAGAGATCATAAGGAGGTTCTTTCTTCTAGCGCCAATTTGTTGATGGTTTGTTTTGCCAACAAGATTATGCAACAATAGTATGGTAATAGGGGGGGGTGTGAATTGTGTTTAAAAGAAGCGTTAAAGTAAATAAGAACAACAAGACAATCGACGAATTGATTGCTTGCATTGGTACACCTGCACATGATTTATCGAGTGATTTGGGTTGCTTCTGGACCTCTTATAACATTTCTCTATCGAATGCTATTGAAATGTTCCATCCTTTTGAAGGAAAACGAGAGATTTTCCAACCTATCTTTCAATCTAATTTCTTATGATTTTTCATGTGATCCTCGATGACTTCCCAGTCATCGAAGCATGGTTGTTTATAGAAGAGGAGGATCAAGAAACAAAATTATCGGGACACGTGTCAGACTCGGGGGTTCGTTACATGCAAGGCACTGCATGTTATAGAAACTTGCTCATGTGGCCGATCTTTTGAGCGGTGTGAACCGGTTTTAGGCTACGATCCTTTTTACATTAGGTTAGTCGAGATCGACATGAAGAAAGCTTCATTCATTTGTGGCGGATGTGAGAAGATAACTCATCTACACCATGCTGACGCTAGTCTGATGTGCCTATGACCCAGAGTGAGATCGACATAGAAATGAGAGCGATACAGAGGATGGCACCTACTTTCGTTGGACGTATTGACAAAGATATTGTGGGACAAAAAATTGTTGCAAGATAATTGTACTCACATTCCTGCATCACAAATGTTCTCAAGCTGCACAATCAAAACAGAAAGAACTTTAAATAAAAATATAAAAAATGAAAGAAAACTACTAATAAGGCTATACAAATTGCTACACACATTCCTGCATCCCATTAGACTTGTAAATTCCAGTAAATGGTAAATACTACACTAAATTCTATCTAATGATGGCCATGGGGATTTCACTTTTAACCATATTAGCCTAACTTCATCTTTCAGGGAGTGCAAACCTTTCACAACTTGAAGGCATACGAATACTCCGTGAAGATCACCAGGCATGAATTAAGAAATAAAAAATTTTAAATTTTTCTCGTTAGTTTCAATGTACTTTGGCAAGTGACCGGGTCGAAACACCATGCAGTAACTTAACAAATCCGAGAAAGCTAAGCTTTCCATCTGTGTGTCTAATCCAGTCATGGAGAACCGCATGAACTGGAACAGAAGGGCTAAGGCCAAGCTCCTGCATGGATGAAAGAGAGAGAGAGG